CCATACGATGGGTCACTGAAGCTGCTGAGGGACAGGGGGAATCGAGCCAGTTTGCAGAAGTGAAAGCCATCCAGCTTGCTTTGGACATTGCTGAGTGGGAAAAGTGGCCGAGGCTCTACCTCTACACCGACTCGTGGGCAATGGCGAATACTCTGTGGAAATGGCTGCAGCAATGGAAGCAGAACAACTGGCAACGTAAGGGTAAAACCGTCTGGGCTGCTGAAGTATGGCAGGACATTGCAGCCCGTGTGGAGAACCTCATTGTGAAGGTGTGCCATGTGGATGCCCATGTACCCGAGTTGTGCCACTGATGAACAGTGACACAACCACCAGGCAGACCAAGCTGCTCAGATTAGAGTGGCTCAGGTGGACTTGGACTGGCAGCACAAAGGTGAACTGTTCATAGCTCGGTGGGTCCACGAGACCTCGGGCCACCAAGGTAGGGATGCAACATACAGGTAGGCTCGAGATCGAGGGGTGGACCTCACCATTGACCCCATCGCAGAGATCATCCAGGGATGCGAGATGTGTGCTACAATCAAACATGCCAAGTGGGTGAAGCCCCAGCGGAATGGAGAGCGATGGCTGAAATATAGATATGGATAGGCCTGGCAGATCGACTCCATCACACTGCCACAGACCCGCCACAGGAAGCGCCACGTGCTCACAATGGTGGAAGTAACCACTGGGTGGCTGGAAGCTTACCCAGTGCCCCACGCCACTGCCCGGAACAACATCCTGGGCCTTGAGACCCAAGTCCTGTGGTGACACGGCACCCCAGAGAGAATTGAGTCAGACAACGGGACCCACTTCCAAAACAACCTCATAAATGCCTGGGTAGAAGAACACAGCATCGAGTGGGTCTGCCATATCCCCTACCACGCACCAGCCTCTGGGAAGATCGAGAGCTACAATGGACTGTTAAAAACCACATTGAAAGCACTGGGAGGTGGCACCTTCAGAGACTGGGACATGCATCTAGCAAAGGCCACCTGGCTAGTCAACACAAGAGGATCTGCCAGTCGAGCTGGCCTGGCTCAGTCGAGACCTCCACGTGCTGTAGATGGGGATAAAGTCCCTGTGGTGCACATGAGGAATATATTGGGAGAAATGGTCTGGTTTAGTCCTGCGCCAGGCAAAGGCAAACCCATCCACGGGATTGCTTTCGCCCAGGGACCTGGGTGCACCTGGTGGGTGATGCAGGACAATGGAGAGGTCCGATGTGTACCACAGGGGGACTTGATTCTGGGTGAGAAGATGCCGTAAATTATGCTGTGCCTGTGTAAATTATTACTTTGTTATTGTTAACTGCTAAATGGCACCTGGACATGACGCAGATGGTATAGAATAAAGGGGTGGATTATGTCCTGGTTCATCTAGGATAGGGTCAAGTTTTCCCCAGCAGAGAGAGAGGGGGAAGGGATCTCCAGCCGGGTTATTCATACCATGCTGACATCAGGTCCAGGGGCGGAGCCTTTTCACTTTCGCTTCTGGTTTTGGTTTTTGCCATACACACGGTGGGTTTGCTCCTTGATCATTTAGCGGTATTTCTGTGTATCGTTTGTCTTGTTCACTGTTATTGCTGTTTATTGTTGTGACCATTGATGCTGTTGTTATTCAGATTGTTCTATCACTCTGTTGTATTAAATTTCTTGTTATTTCAGCCAGGGTCTGTGTCTAACTTCCAGCCCGACCGGTGCAGGTGGAGGAGGGGCATCGGCAACGTGCTCTCTCATCCCGGCAGGATTAAACATTGCACACATGGTCTGCGGCTCTGCACTACGCCTGAAACAAGCGGCTTTTAAGACTGATTGATTAAATGTTTCGGTTTCACTTCAGCAATTAATCTCAGTAGCCTTTTACTTATTTGTATGCCTCAAAGCTTGAGAGATAATCCCTTAATGATTCCTTGCTCCCCTTCTCAGTCTGTGGTTTATTGCAAAATAACCACAGCGCCATACTGACAGGCAGGAGTGAATCCTGGCTTCATGTCCTAGGTACCTGCACCATGTTCTGGGGAGGTTGCCCATCCCAGAGCCAGCTGATAGTTTGGTCCCTGTGGCCTATCCATGAAAATCACTTTTGCAAATATTAACCATGGAGGAATCAGGTGTTTCAGTAAGAAGGTGGCTCAGGTTTTCAAAGCAAGCTGTGAAGATCCTGGCCCTGGATTCTTCACTCGGACTTTTCATTTCATGTGGTATAAACCCCACCGCCCTAACCTCTAGTGTAGTTGGCCCTGATCTAACCCAGAAAAAGGTCCCCTATACGCACACAAATGAGGCACCTTTTGTCATTCTCTATCTGAAATTTCAGTTGTTCTGTCAAGAAAGTGTTACCCAAATTATGAGCTTCTCTGAGTGAACATAAACCATTCTCTGTGAATGTGTCATTGACTGAAAAATATTAAGCAAAGCTGTGATAACTCACAAGGCTACAAAGAGCATTTGGAAGATACAGGAGCATTTCTAGAACGTCTACAAACTCAAGACAATAAAATGCTCATTGGTGGGCTAAAGCATCACAGTTGCACCTAGGTGAGGGCATCACACTTCCCAGGACTGAAGTTCAGCAACAGGGACAAAACAAACCTCTCTTTCAGGCAAGAGGAAATGCACACCAAATGCATTCAGGCAACTGAGGAAGTGTCTCGACCAGCACCACAAGATACCTCTGCTGAACCAAGGCAGACAGAAGCATTTTAACATCACACCTTTTCTTTAGTTTTTCCCACTTAGTCTTAAAGTGACTTAAAAATCTGACAGCATTTCTGTGGCTCGAGCTTGGCTTCTCATCACTGAATCACAAAATCACAGAATCATCTAGGTTGGAAAGGACCCCGGAGATCATCTAGTCCAACCGTTCACCTAGCACAGTTCCCACCTACAGCGTATCCTTAAGCTCTGAATCAAGCCTAATCTTGAACCCCTCCAGGGATGGGGACTCCACCACCTCCCTGGGCAGCCCATTCCAACGCCCAACAACCCCTTCTGGAAAGAAATGCTTCCTAATATCTAGTCTGAACTTTCCCTGGCACAACTTGAGGCCACTCCCTCTTGTCCTGTCACTTTCTACTAGGCTAAAGAGGCTCCAACAAGGCTCTCTGCAGCTTCCTTTCAGGGAGCTGTAGAGGGTGATGAGGTCTCCCCTCAGCCTCCTCTTCTCCAGTCTAAACAATCCCAGTTCCCTCAGTCGCTCCTCACAGGACATGTGTTCCAGACCCTGCACCAGCTTTGTAGCCCTTCTCTGGACACGCTCGAGTAACTCAGTGTCCTTTTTGTAGTGAGGGGCCCAAAACTAAACACAGTAATCAAGGTGCGGCCTCACCAGCACCAAGTACAGGGCTCAGATCCCTTCCCTGTCCCTGCTGGCCACACTAATCCTGATACAAACCAGGACGCCATTGGACTTCTTGGCCACCTGGGCACACTGCTGGCTCCTGTGCAGCCAGCTGTCAATCACCCCCCAGGTCTGACTGTCAGCTCTCCATCCACTCCTCCCCAAGCCTGTAGCGCTGCTGGGGGTTGTTGTGGCCCAAGGGCAGCCCCCGGCATTTGGCCTCAGTGAAGCTCATGCAGTTGGGCTCACCTCCAGCCTGTCCAGGTCTCTCTGCAGCCTCCCTGCCCTCGAGCAGATCAACACTCCTGCCCAACTTGGTGTCATCTGCAAACTGACTGAGGGTGCCCTCGATCCCCTCGTCTAGATCATCAATAAAGATGTTAAACAGGAGTGACCCCAAAACCCAGCCCCGGGGGACACCACTCGTGACCGGCCGCCAGCTGGATTTAACTCCATTCACCACAACTCTCTGGGCCCGGTTGTGCAGCCAGTTTTTTACCTAGCGAAGTGTGCGATTGTCCAAACCTCGAGCAGCCATTTTTGCCAGGAGAATTTTGCAGGAAACTGTGTCAAAGGCCTCACTAAAGTCAAGGTAAACAATATCCACAGCCTTTCCCTCATCCAATAAGGTGGTCGCTCTGTCATGGAAGGAGATCAGGTTTGTCAAGCAGGACCTGCCTTTCATAAACCCATGCGACTGGGCCTGAGCATCTGGTTGTCCCTCATGTGTTGCATGATGGTACTCAGGACGAGCTGCTCCATCAGCTTCCCGGGCACCGAAGTCAAGCTGACAGGCCTGTAATCTCCCAGATTGGACTTCTGACCCTTCTTATAGATGGGTGTCACATTGACCGATTTCCAATCAGTTGGGACCTCCCCGGTCAGCCAGGACTGCTGGGAAATGATAGTATAAATTTTATACTTATCTCAGGAGGCAGCAAGCACTCCCTGCTAAACCTCAAGAGCCCTCAAGTCCTGGATGCTTCAGTCCTGATGTTGTGAAGATATAGATGGGTAGAAGGCAACATAAAAAAAGGGTCTGTGGCAAGACACCGGAGAAGCAGTACAAGGGACAGAGGTGTGTAAGAGACAGGGGGCATTTAGAGAGAGTCCGACAGAGACATGCATTCCCCACGTTACACTTCAAATGGAGCACTGTCTAGGAATAAAACTTCACAGCTGCTGCATGTGCACACTGCAATGGAGAATCAAGGTTTCTCCTTCCTCCACTCAGCATCTCCCAGCAAAACAGCAAGACAAAAATCTCATTCCTACTTGAGGGGATCCACTTTAACAACCCCCTAAACACCAACTATTTGTCAGTTTTTCCTTGAGGTAAAGAACAGGGGAGGTACACCTGGAGAGGGAATTAAGGTGGCTGTGACAACGGGAAACATGGCAGATGACTGTCACAGGGGTGTGCTGGGTGAAGAACACCGTGCTGACAGCAGGGATGGACCAGCACACAGCCACACAGGACAAACGAACAGGTTCAGCCTTTGCCCCTTATCTGCTCACTTCTAAGCACTTAGATGTGCAGAGGTTTTGAAAGAAAAACATTTAGAAGTAGTTTGAAAAGCAAGTTTAACATTATTCTGCTTAGAAGGGGATCTGTTCTGAAGGATGCAGAGAGCGTGCATCACGCAGTGCCCAGCACTTACCTGTGTCATAGTGAACTACCAGGGAACTTGAATGATCTCCAGTCTTCAGCGGGTGAAACTCCACTGTCACTTGCACGGCATCACCAATCCCAAGAGTCCTGATGGAGGGCTCCACAGAGAAGGGGCTGCAATGCAGAGACACATCAGGGCTATTGTGGGTGATCTGGGGACTATACCCCTTTTGCAGTTTGCTCCACTTCAGCTCACTTGTGCAAGCAAGAAGCAAACAAGCCACAGCCAGTAGAAAAAAAAAAAACAGAACACAGAGGATCAGAATGGCATTACTGACTCTCACTTCTGACGAGATCCCGCTCTCCGAACATCCTGTGGTGTCAAACGACCTCACCTTCCCCATACTCTGCATCCCCTTCCCTGCAGGGAGGCTCAGGATTCCGACTGCTGACAATACAGCCGGAGGACGGGTTCGGAGGAGCACAGAGAGGGTGAGAGCTATCTGCCTGCACAACTTGACAATGACTTCCTCAGGAATCTGTCTTTTCCTGCCACCTATAAACTCCACCTCAAGAGATGCAAATGTCAGGGAATTACCTGTCCCAGGGAGACTGCAGCCTAGCAATCAGACAGGGAGGTCTTTCCAGAAGACCAGAGAATAATTATGGTTTAATTTGCAGAATTAATTTTTTTACACCTTGAAAACATCCTAGTTTAGTCTAAGAAAGGGCATGTTTCATTGGCATAAATATGAAAGCTGCTCTAAGAAAAGGAGCAATCAGAAAAAGCTGAATAAGTGCAAACACAGATTAGAGCAATACAATGACATGGAAACAAGACACGGCAGGAGGATCCCTTGTACAGCCTGAACTGTTAAACCCCTGGCTAAAGGAAGTCCCATTACCAGGAGCACATCAAAGTGAGTTTAACAGGAGGTTTTCTATGTATTCACAACCACTGCAGTCTGACACTCTGGGTTGTAATCCAAGCTCAATAACTGTTTGCTTGGCCCACTAGGCAAATTCTATGCAATACATTGGCAATAATTATGATTTTTACTTTGGATTTAATATGAGCAAGTATGATTTGTCACCAGGTGAACGGCTCTTGGCTGACAGACACAAAGCTCAGCGCTTTAATGCAAAGGGGACAAGTCAGTGAAACATGCCTCTGCAGCTGGGCTTCATGGCTCTTCTACAGCCCCACTTAGAAAACAAAAGTTATTGGGTTTAGTGCTGTGCTTTGGTGGTCAATTTGTCACCTTAAAAAGATGTTCTGGAGAGTTTTACCGTGATTATTAGAGAATGCAATACACACAAAAATATTGAGAACAACTGAGCCATGCACAAGCTGAACCTTATAGTGACAGGTGATTAAATTGCTGGAGTTTCTGCCCATTAAGGAGATATCGCTGCAATTAGGGGCCTGACCTGCTCCCATTACAACCAGCGAGAGCATTGCCACCGAAGCACGGGGCCTGCAATGTTTGTGTGCTGGGCCTGAGACTCTGGAGAGAGAAGGAAAGACAAGGCACCGCCAGTCTCAGAACTGGGCTGTTCTACAGGGTCCTTCATTCACACTGATGGTTATGCCAGAACTGCTGCAGGTCTCTGCCAGGGCTTGGGTCGGATCACTGCCTGGTGTGGAAAAGACAGAGATTTTGGTTTGGTGTTTTTTGTTTGTTTTTTTTTTGTTTTGTTTTGTTTGTTTTTTCCCATAACAGAAAAACTGCTAGTTAAGGAGGATCTCGGAGAACACTTCAGCACTACTTCCCATCCCATCACCTTCCTACTCCTTCCCCACGTCTACATACTCCTGCCCTCAGATGGATGGAAATAACACTCCTGAAGATATCTTCATCTTTTCAAATTGTCAGAAGATGATGATCCAACCAAGTTCAGGACTCAGTTCTCAGGACTGAGAAACAGAGCACAAATCAGACACTGCATGTCCTACACCCCACCCCATGCTGTACCCACAAGACAACTCTTACTGCTGTAGAAAGAGCTCGTTATCCCTCACATGGACCTGGTTCTCCAAGACCCAGAGATACAAGCTCCATGGTTAAACTCCCCTGAATTTCAGTCACTGTCACTAAGCTGTTGTCTGCAGCCTACAGATAAAAAGAGATGCTAAGGAGAAACCTCTGACATAGCCACGTGTCCTGTCACGTATCCACTGCAAAACCCACGTGTCCTGCCCATTTCCAGCTACGGCTGCAGTACAGCAGCTCAGGTGCTCTGATTCCTTGTTGTTACTGTTTACCAACCATATTATCACACAACAGCATTTTGCACAGAGACAACGAGCTCCTTTACCTCTCAGTGCTGATGCGGTAGTGAGCCTCCCGGTTACCGATGTTGCGAACCAGCAGAGTTTTCTGGGAGCTGTACTTGACTGGACAGACGGAGAAGTCCAGCTGGTCAGGGAAGTCCAGGATAGCTCGGGCACCTATAGCTCGGATTGGCACGATAAACTTTTCTCTTTCAGTGATGCACGTGAGCTGGTAGAAATAATCCTGCAGGGAAAGAAACAATCTCAGCACAGTGCATTTAGTACCATTCCATGGCAGAAGGAAAACTGCTGTTTTCTATGACTCTAACAGTAACATCCAGTAACATCATAGTACTTTTTACCTTAATGACCTTTCATTCCTGCAGCGTGACTTGAACAGGGCTGTTAACTTGCAAAGAAAAAACAATCCCATTGATTCACCTGCTTTCACAGCAAGCTGGCAGAAGCAGACAATGTTATCTGATACTTTTATTTGGAGACACCAAAATAGAGTAATTTTACGTGAGGGATTACAGCAGTAACGAGAACCCACTTTGATCACCACTGCAGATGATCAAAGGCTCCACTAAGCACCCAGTTGTGACACAGCACTAACTCCAATCCCAGCAATGCAGAGACCTCACTGACGCTGGCCAGGGGATGCTCAGGTGCATTTTCAAAAGGACTTTGCCACGTGCACGACCAACACTCAGTCTTTGGTGAAATATTTAACAAGCTGGACAGGGGAATTGTTCTGATATCAGGTGAGTGTAGGGTACGTGTGTATTTCCTACCCCTTCCCAGAGCATTATAGGGACAAGGCTGGAGACACACACCCTTAAAAAGCTATCTGATCTATCTCCCCACCCCAGAACAGGCTCAGCTCTACACCCAAACGATTCTTGCAAGATGTCTGACAAGTACTTAAAAGCACTAAAAATTCCACCCCTGCCCTCAGCAGCCTATTCCAGCTCTACCCTAGACTTAAGAGTTCTTCTTGTCCCTAATCACAGTTTCCCTTTCCAGCTCACATAGCCTCATGGGACATGGGAAACAGCTTTGCTTCCTCTCTGCTGCAGGGTTGATGCCTTATTAGCATGCCTACCTGAGGCAGGGGTAGCAGGAGCTGCAGATGGGACATACAGGGACAGCCCTGACAGAGCAAACTCAGCTGTGCTACTCCCCAGCATTAGCTTGTTCACAAGAGAGACAGACAGTCCCCCCAGCTGTCTGGCATTTAGCAGTATGAAGGCAAATCAAATCACCAAAATCATTGTACTGTAGGGAGGAGCAGATCCATCTCCAGACAGACAGTGTGGCATCACAGTGCTGCAAGTATCCCCTTGCCCCTGCTGAAATCACCGGTAAAACTGTTGCAGCACGGCCAGGAGCCATTACCTCCAGCAGCTCTTACTGATGAGTTGATGAAAGCTCTGCACCTTATCACTCATTTGCTGTCCTGATCTTTTTTCCTCAGTGCTTTGAAGCCGTCTGATATTTTTATCATTGTTGAAGAAGCCAGCAGATAATTCGATTTAAGAATTGCACACAACAAACTCTCTTAACCAGAACAGATTCAGATTCCTCTCTGCTTGGGATTTCCTGCTCTCCCACACCCGCACACTCCAAGCCTGGAAGGGACCTAGGGCAGCCAGAGGAGGCACAGACACAGAGCTACTGCTTTAACCCAGCAACTAACACCCAATGCTACTCACCAACTGAGGCTGAAAGTTGCTGTAACAGATGCTGTCACAGCCAAGATGTAAAAAGAATAAAGAAGGATCTTTTTCTCTACACATGTCAAATATTCATATTGGACCTTGCAGAAGGGCTTTTGCTTCGCGTATCTGGAAGGTAAAATACCAGGAAGGAAACTGCAGCAAACGACGTACAGAACTGTATATCACATTTCAGGAGTGTTTCATCTTCATCAAGTCTTTCTGAATTAGCAATTTTGTACTCAATCCTGCAGCCTAAGCCATCTAAAATAAAAGGTACGGGCAGCCCATGTGAACTTAAAGCACCTACTACCTGGGTACTTCACATCCTGGACTGTTTAGATCTTCAGAAACCGCATTAGCAAATGAAGAATGCTATTTACTTTTTTTGTTGTTGCTGTTACTTTGGCCACACTACTGTAACAAAGGCACTGTAAATCCACTTGGAAGCTGCCTGCCTTATTAAGCCTTGGCATGCCATATTTACTTCTCTCTCCTAGATGCCAGGTTGACAGATGATGATGCAAGTTCAGATCAGCAGGGAGATCAAGAAAAAAGAAACTTCAACAGTTGGAGCTATTTAAAGGAAATAATAGGAAACCATTTTCAAGTCACTGTCATTGCTAAGGAGCAAGGTGATCCACAGCAATGTACAGAAGAGCCCAAGGAATAAATGCCTCCCCGAGGTGTAAACCCCCAGAAGCAAGCACATGCCATCTTCCTAGCTCTGGGGCTGGGGAGGGGCACTGGGATTGCCTGCACCAGGAAAGGGTGTTAAGGATTTCACCAGACTGTGGGTATTTCTAGGCTGCTTTATTAACAGCTTGGAGTTGGGCCATCACCTCCGTGACTGGCAACAGCTCACAAAAGGCACCCTCTATATATGATATAACATACAATACAAAGAGTCTCTAGTGACTTTCCAGGAACTTTCGGCTCTCAGTTCATCATCAATTTCAAAAGTCCTTTGTATTCCATAGTTTTAGCTAGTTCTTATCATTCCGTTCCAATTCCTCTTTGGACACCACTGCTAACTGATGCAGCCTTTAGTCATCATGGTTACCTACCTTCTGAACAATCTTCATCATAACTCACTTCTAGACTTCCAAGAAAAGACTCAAATTGTTCTATTTAACATATACTCAATCTATGTCTAACCTTTCATTACGTAACTTTCTAAGTTGTTTAAATTGTCGGTATTGTTCCTAGAGCACCTGTGCTCTATTGTGAACAATATCTATTTATTAATTATTCCTGCTATTAATAATATCCTAAGAGAAAAGCTTGTTCCTTTTACAAAGGTTGTCTCTGGCCTCAGAGACAACCATGACCTTGAGAGATCAAGTTGCCTCTCACCATTCATGCACAGGCACATTGTGTGCTGAGCCCCCTCTCCAGGGACGCCCTGGGACACTGCATCCTGCACAAGGGTGGACTCAGCTCTTCAGAGTGCCCTGACCCTTCAGCCACACTCTGTGACCCATCAGAATGGGACCTTGCACCAAGCTGAACACAGCCTCAGGCCAAATGGGGGGGAAAGCCAAGGGAAGAGGGGTGCCAGGCAGAAGCTGCCTGTTCAGGCTGCTGAGAACCCACAGTCTCATGAGCTTCTGCAAGCTGAATCACCCTCCCTTGGCAGGAGATAGAGGCTGCCGTTCTTCACGGCAGCACTGCCCTGCGCAACCAGCTCTGCTAGGCACTTGCTTACAGTCTACGGGTACAGCTGGAACCAGTTTACAGCCTTATTTTACTTTGCAACTGCAAACCCTTAGATGGTTTCAAAGCAGGTTTCTAAATAAACACGCCTGGTGAGAGAGGGGTTGCATCGCTTCCGTGCTTTGAAAATTGCTTTTAGACCCACCAGCTTCAGTCTACAGATTTTCATGAAAATACAACTTCATCCTTCATACAACTCCTCTCCCAGTTTCAAGGAAAACACCTGTCACTGTACAATGGTTCCTCTTCTCTTACCTTCGAGAAGCAAAAAGTTACAAGCTCTGGCCTGCAAAGTATCACCGCTGGCATGAACTGATTGTGTCTCAGAGGTGTCAGTTCAGGCTCTTTGCAAGCTCAGGTTAACGTTAATTACTGTCACAGTGATAGCAACCTTCACTGCCCAGTACACCAGCAAACGCAGGGGTAGGTTTTGCTGCATAACCAATCCTAAAGACTTCACTGAATTCCCTGCAGCAGACAACTGCAAAGAGATCCTTGTAGCATGAGGCAACATAGCAAATCTCGCAGGGAAAGCTCCCTGCTGAAACCAGGCTATCATAAAGGCTGGAAAACAAGGGCCATTAAAAGAGAGGAGAGACTGGAGGATGAAGACAGCTTCCCATGAGAAGGGGTGGCCCTTCTCCTGCCTTCCTCAGCCACCAATTCACAGGAAGTTTTGAAATCAGTCACTTGGCTCCAGGTTCATTTTGCACAGGGCCATTTGCCTTGATTTTCTGCCCCTTTCTTCCACGCAAGTCATCTTAAAAGTATACTTGGAATAGCTTCTGTGTGCTACCAAACACCTAACAGCGCCCAAATGAATTCTAATTTCACTAATGCAATAACTTACCGACCTGTCGTACTTCATATTAATCATCGAGCATTAATTGAGTCTCCACTGAGCATCAGCAATGAATTTAGCAAACCTTACAGAATGAACTTGAATATATTGTATTACCACAGCGAAAAGAATGAGAGAACAAAACAGAATAAGCTGTGCTATGTATTTGTATGCTTCTCACTTCCTTCTTCCTCTAAGATAATCTATTAATAAGCCAAAGGACACACACAAATATATGTATTCCTGTCTATTGCCAGTCAGTTCCACGATGATTTCGAATTAGGCAGAGACTGTCAGACCATAACGCAAGGACACCCGAACACAGGGTGGCACAAGAACACCCACACCGTGCAACTGAAGCCCCCAAACAGAAATGTGTACATCAGAAGCAGCAGGAGTAACTAATTGGAAATGTTGCCCAACAGAAAAATTAGCATTTCTTATTTGTAAGACAAGTGCCAATAAACAGAGACATGTCAGCTATTTATTTAGTTTCTGACAGTCCCATCCTGTGGCGCATTCCCAAATGACTGCAAGACAATAGGAAACTGCTCATTTTTCAAGCAAGCACTACATGGCACATGGCATTTCAGCCACTAACAACTCACATGGTCCTTTTGTTTACAGCTTAGCCCCAATTTTACTCCCTTGAATCAGGAGTGACTTTGCTGAAGTCAGACTAACCCCGGGAAAGAACAGATTCAAACCAACTCCATAGCAGGAGGAGTGCCCAGCCCTGGCAGAGGGGTTTGTACCTGCGTCCCAGCTCACTGGGTTATCCACCCTCCCTGCAGGTGATGGAGCAGCAGAGGGATAGAGGCTGCTCAAAGGCAGCACTCGTAAGCCTTCCACAACTAACACACAGGTGTTCTGCATGCAAGCCACTGCCAGCCCAACGCAGGCGGCTTTACAGAACCATTTCCCAAAGCCTCTTTGTTAAGGGGTTTCCAAGGTGCCGTGCACCTCCTGACTGTGCTGTTAATGTGTTTCTAGCTGAGCTACAGCACTCTGGGGCTTCACTGGCCCACACTCCATCAAGTATGAGACAAAATGTTTGATTCGTACAAAATTCTGATTCTGCTGTATAAATCCCCACGTGCTCCTCACTGAGCAGCATGAATCCCTCTCCCCATGCCCTGCACAACCCCCAGTGCAGCAGAAACCACTGGAGTGTCACTGCAGCTGTGCAGAGGACCTCTCGCTGGCAGAGCTCCCTGCTCCACACACTTGACAGTTCAAGGGCAAAACAAGGCACAAAGTATTGGACACCAGTGTTCTTGAGGGTTCTCTCACTCCGCTTGTATTTGTGGCGATGTTCACATGTTGCTCTGCTGCCTCTCTAAACTTGAAGAGCAGCACTTTGCCCTTCACGGGCACTAATATACCTCTGCCACCCCCAGAAAGAACACTAATCAATATGAATAAATCACATTTTGAAGGCACTGGTGTACTTTGCAAAGCCTACCTCCATGAGATTAAGCTCTTTTGTCACTTGGGTAGTTTGGAGAACTGCCCTAGGACAACATAATTTTAACCCTAAATATTAATGATGTTAAATAATTTCTCAGTCCCTCCAAAGGAACAGATTATTTCACAAGCATGGGGAGCAAGGGACCACAGGGCATTTCCTCTTTAGTTTTCTATATCCATGCTGTTTGAGGATAGGACAAAGTGTTAAACTGTATCTAAGCAGCAAGTGAAAAAGCAGGTACACCCAAAGATATCTTGCACCTCTGGCCGGGTGCAGAAACATCTGCTGGCTCAAAGCTGTCCTCTAGCCTCGCCTCTCCAACAAAGTCATGCAAAGGACAGTGCTAAGAGGCAGCAGGATGCTGGTGGAAGAACTCAGCCTGCCTGTCCTTGTTTCCCTGCTTCCTCCCTTCCATGCCAAGTATTAAATTCTTCTGTACTAACAAGCCTTCAGATAACAGTGTTGACCCTGAGAATCAGACCTGCCAGGGCGACAGCACTGATGTGCAAACCTCTAAGCAAAGGCACGGTGTGTTTGGTGTGGAAGAGGTGCCAGCTGACAGAGCAGCCACAGTAACACAGGTGTTGACACAGCCACACTGCAGGCTCTGGATAATGTGCCTGCCTGCAGCTTGGACCTGCCCATTTATTCCCATATATGCTCATTCAGGCAGATGTCTCAAAGCTACCTGCAGCCCGACAACCTCCTGCTGAGTTAGGGACATCTAGAGCTCAGTGTGCCTGTGCCAGGCTGGCTCCCTGCCACCTGCACAGTGCTCCCTCTGCCCCAGCCTCCCAGCTGCATCGCAGACAGACAAGTGTCCTTAGGGACAGTCCAGCTGCAAGGCTTGAAAACAGAGGGGATGGAAAAGCACCATCTGCTCCAGTCCAGGGTGAGGCAGGGAAGTGGCTGCCCAATGGGAAACAGAAAAGCTCTCTGGATCTATTTGTTCCTCTAGTATTTTCCATAATAATTAAAACCCTACCATTGAGTAGAGACATGACTAATCATCTTATCAACACCCCACTCTGCCATTTTCCTACTGTTCCACGTGCATCTTCCCTCATGAACACTCAATGAAGTGCAGGGAGGGAAAGCACAGCCTGCCAGCCCCTGCTGCAGCAGCTAACAGCATCCTGCAGTGCCAAGAGGGGGCCAGCTGCAGACTGCCCAACCACAGCCTGGAGCAGACCCCACAGCAGGCTGTGGACTATAACCAGTGTGTAAAAACTGCAATGACTCCAGACAATGTTCCACTGTCTCACTACCGTGGCCAACACACGAGGCAATGTGACTCTTGAATCGTAGAAAAAAAGACTCTACAACTCGAAACAGAGTTCTACAGCAGGTATGCTTACTCCGGCGCCGGAGTGCAAGGGGATTTCTCCACAAAGCTTGCACCCCAACAGCACATTTTACCAGAAATTATTATAGAGTGTGGATATCCATATTCACTGGGTTACACAACACAAACATACATGTGCAGGAGTGAGGCTGGGTTAGTTAGAAAGGCTGATGTCAACAGTTTATGTTCTCTTTGCACCTGCCCATTGCCTCCTGGTGGCTGTCTTTGTGGGGCTTTGGGAGGAAGGCCTGTAGTCTTTCTCACCTCGTTTTTTCCCCAGAGCATGCACAGATTCTCTTGGCCAGTTTCTTGAATAACAAGAGTATTTTACAGCCAGTTTACTCATTCTATCTTATCTAAGAGAACCAGTGGAACTTCTACCATCCATACATGGCTATCTTTACTTATTACCAAGACTCCAACTAGTTAGAGCACACCTGTTCCCCAAGGACAAAAACATGATATTTTGATGAACATTGTAGTTTTTGGTAGATTTTCACAGCAAACTACTTGGTTTTAATGAACACAGTAGTCCTTAGTAAAATTCCAGTCTGGGCAAGCAGGAGTCTTAGCAATATTAAAAAATCCTAGAAGTAATACCATAACTTGCTATAAGTAAGTAAATAAGTTGCTAAGCAGTTTGCTATAAGTAAAGAAGTCTCAAAACAAGTAATCATTTCTCTGTATTGCTCCAGTTTCAAAGGGTGGCAATCCTCACTTTGATCAGGCTCACTTTGGGTCCTACAAATAACAGGTCATTTCTAAACAGACCTCTGTATCTACCATTAGTGGAGCAAACCCATAATCACACAGCCGTGGACAGATACCAGAAACCAACACCTTGGGAGGTCACCCCACCACAGATGGCAGATTTTCTTATCTCTGAAACCAACAGACATGACATTAAATGTTCCATCACTGAAGGATAAAAATCGTCTGAAACACATGGGAGCCTCCAGCCTATGAGAGCATAATCCTCACCATGGGGAAAGAATTTCCCTCAGTTCTAGATCCGGGGCAACCCCACTGGAACCAGGACAGTCCTCAAAAGCCACAGCAGATGCCCTGTTCTGAATCCAGCCCAGCAGGTTCAGCTTCCACTGAAGGCACCGACCTCTCTGGACCTCCAGTCTCACCTTGTTCTCCTCCGGGGTGAACAGGATGCAGAAAGTTGAACACATGCCAGGCGCGACCTTACAGCACACACCACCAGGGCTGGTCAACTTGAAGTAAGGCGACGGCTCCAAGACAACCTTCACCAGCCGAGGAACCTGCAGGAAAGACAGGAAACTATGATTTTGCCACTCACACAAAAACATGAGGAGAAAATACCTGGCCATGCCCTGGGGACATCCCTCTTTAACCACCTTTCCAAAGCATTTTTAACTCTTGAGGTTGTCACAACCTGGATTGGAAGTCCAAAGAGTCACAAGGGTGATCCCCTCAGGTTAAATTAAGGTGAAACGACACCAAATGACCAGTTAAAGTGTCTTACTTGCAGTAGAAAACAATTTAAACTTGGAAAAGGATAATAAGCAATGTGGTCTCTTATAAATCTGTAAGAACAAAAAGAGAGGAAAGAACAAGAAAGGTGATAGAGAGTCAAAGAAATCTGGATCACCAGATCCAGTGTTGTCTCAAGTACGACCATATTGGCTGGTGGGTGCACACACAGCAAAGTTTCTGTTGCCTTTCCAGTTCATCTTATCAGCTGGTTAGCATACTTCTGCTTCTGGGGCAGAAATGCTCACCCCTCGCCAGGCCTTGTCGCCTCTTCAATGGCGACAGCACGAAGCCATTAGCAAGGCCAGCATGGCGTCTGGCTGACACAATGGAGCCAACACAGTACCGGGCTTACACAGTGCAGACAGTGATTGGTGGTGTTTGTGCTTGAGGGGAAACTTTTGGTTTCACTCAGTTTCCCTCCTTTGAGGCCCACACATAAGGAATTTGTCAATATACAACTGCAAGGGAGTGGGGGTGCAGCCTTCCATACACTCCCACTCCCTTGGGTGACATTCCTTAGGACTTATCACAAAGGCCCCAGCTTGTCCTGAAAGTTTTCTGTGTCAGTGAATATTTATGGCATCAGTTCCTTCTGTTCCTTACAGAGGTACATGCACCTAATACACCAGAATGGAATCCATTCTGCCAGGGCAGAATAGCTCCAGGCCAGAGGCAGTAGAGCAATGTCCTGCTGTGAAGGAATCACCAAGCAGGTGAGACACCAGCGGCACGGAGAGATAATACCTGAATCAAGTCATCCACATATCAACCAGCCCAATGAACCTGTGGGCTTCTGCCTGCACACACCCAAGCAGTCATGCCTCTGGAGAGGGATGAAATATCTGAAGGCAAACCAGTACCTGTTATACTGGAGGGAGGAAGAAATTCACTTCTAACATACTGGGTTTGAGTGGGGCAGTCATACTGCAGTGCTACTCACGCAGGCAGACCAGCAAGAGAAGGACACCACAGACACTGTGCCTTACTGGGAATAAAAGGAAACCTGGAGAGCAAAAGGAGGAACATAGGCAGAAAAAGAGACACAAAACAAGGATATGGCTAAGGGAATTTAAAGGGGGCTGTAAAGAAGCAATGGAGAAGCCCAATACACTACAAGGAAAGGCTGATGCAGAAGATGAGAGCGGTCAACTTGCCAAAATGATGGCAAGGCAGACAACCCCCCAGGCTGGGCCTATCAATTATGGGCTTCAGAGGTGTCCTGGTTCAGCTAAGATAGGGTTATGTTTCCCCAGCAGTGGGAGGGGCTCTAGCCGGGTTATTCAATACCATGCTGATGTCAGGCCCATGCGCCAAGCACAGGAATAGTTTCTGTGTGGCTTTTGTCCCTGAGAGTACCCATGACGGGGCTACTTTACCCTGTTGGTATAACTCTGTATATCTTTTGTCCTGTTTACTGTTATTACTGCTTGTTGCTATTGCTATTGTTGTTGTTCGTTTTATTATTTGTTACACTGTTGTATTAAGTTTTTCCCTATCCCAACCCCGGGGTTTGTATCTCACTCCCTGCCCCGTCTGGTCCGAGGGTGGGGGAGGGACAACGGCAGTGGGGTCTCTGGTCCCGGCAGGGCCTAAATCACCACAAGGGGCATTTTCTGCCTTGAGATACATGACCAGCACTGACTCACAGTGCGGTTTCATTATTAAAAGCCACTCTTGGCTCTCTGGAGGCTCTTGCTGCCTGGTGCCTGTAGCCAGGCAGCTGCCAGTGCAGACAAGGCAAATTTCTGGGCATTCCTCCCCACACCCAGGAGCCCAGGAAGGCACCTTGCTCCAAGTTTCTGCCCTCTGGGATACCACTAGCACAGAGACAGCACATAGGTGTTTTCTAGCACACTGATATCAACACCTGAGCACCAAATCTCATCACAGAAAGTCTAAAACAGGCAATTTTGACTGACAGGCAGCTTCACTGATAAACAACAAATCCACGTGAGCCTTGGGAAAAAATGGAAGTTCATTCCTTACCACCTGCTCGAGCCTGATAACCCATGGCCAAGGCAGTCCAAGGCATCTCCAAACGCCCTTTTCTCCCAGCAGTGCCCTGGGACAGCAAGTTCCAGGAGCCAATTTCACACCACAGACAAACATTTTGGTCACCAAGTCCCTTGGGAGATGAGCCAAGACCTTCAGCAAAAGCCACCCAGAACATCACTGAGGGTAGTGAGGAGCAGCCTCAAGACAGAAAAGCAATTTTACAACACACAGATAAGAACAGTAACTATAGAGCAAAGTACTTCTGTACTTGAATGATTACAGAGCCTCTATATGGAATATATACTTTACTGTCAGCTGGATTTTTACAGAGCAGACAACCTCAGGCTATCATGCAGTATAGGTCAGCGGGATTTGGAGGAATCTGTGAAACTGGTGAGAAAACTTTGAGACAGAGTACAATGTTGCTGGACATCACCAAAAGCCAACAAAATTAAATAACAACCTCTCTTGGGATTATTATCTCTATCTTTGTGTACTTAAATATGCCAAGGATTTTCCTTAAAGCTGATTTACTTCTACACCAGAGCTGTCTTACTAGCTTCAAAACTAATTCATTTTGGAAAAAATCAACAGCTCACGTGTTGCCTCCCCTTTACAGGGCATACTAATCATAAGGTGCAGCTGTACAAGTTTATTATTTTTTACTGGGAATAGCAGAAATGTTGATGCAGATGTTGTTTTCCACTTGAGGAAAGCAGAGCAAATTGACTGCTTGTTGGCTGGTACTTGGCGCCGACAAATATTTCTAAGTGCCACCTGGGTAACAGAGCAGCTGAAGCCAGAAGACTTAATGGGAAAAAGCAGCACCATAGGTGTTGGAGAACGGCTTGCAGAGAGCAAGGCCATAGCTCCCCGCAGAAGTCAGTCACAGCCACCTGAGGTAAACAGAGGAAAAAACCCAGGGTACAGTGATGCTAACAGGGACTGTTGTGAGAACAAGGAGATAAGTTGGGGCGCATTATGACCTTGGGGGTGAGACGAAGGCAGCCCTGGGAGGGAAGCAGGTTCACAGCAAGAAAGATGTTTATGCATACCAGTAATGCCACAAGGGGCTGGGATATTATAATGTGACCTTTTGGATGTACCCAATGGCTGAGATATTATAATGTAGTTTCTTAAATGTATCCAATAGAGTTACAAGTAGTGTATTGTAGAGTGCTTATATACGGTGTGATTTCTTTCAATAAAGTTAAAGCTTGCTCTATCATTCACATTGAATCGGCTGCTTGCTTCCTCCGCCCGCCACACATAGGAACAAAGAGAAACTGAGGCACATTTTAATCAGCAAAGATGATAGCTACAGCAAAGAGTGCCTGGAATCAGCATGGACCCCATGAATGGTGGCCCCTGGACAGGGGCACTCACACTGCTCTTTCCAATATTCTCAAGCTCAACCAGGCCAGGAATGGCACAGGACTCTCCAGGAATAACCAAGGGACCACCCTGAAACTGTCTTTGCCAAAGGGTCTTCCATTTTTAACCATGTCCCTGTCAAAACCTGTTATCTTGGAATATACTTTAATTTCTCTTGCTGCTCCCCCACCTGCAACATGCTGTGACAGCTTTTTTTGTCCACTTGTTTGTTTTCTAACAAGACTGGTAGATTTGGAGGGGGGTTAATTCACATGCTCTCATGTACACTTCCATCTGCCCATCCTGCCCTCCTCTCATGTGCACATCTTAATCTTTATTACAGAACAGTATCTTTAATTACACCTTTATTTTTCTGAAATTTCTCTGCTTCCAGCACACTTACGTGTCAAGAGAAACCCTTGCGTGTACAACGTTCTCTCCCAGAGCACTTTCCCACCCAGCTCCTTTCCTCTCTCCCCTCTTTTCCCACCAGTTGCTCTTGGCACGTGCCTCATTCAAGCAAATGCTTCCCCTGCCAAAATTCAGGTCTCAATTTTCCTCTTTACAGTGCAACAACACTGCTGACATTTTTCAACTTCTCCCTTCTCAACTTTCCTAGGAAATCTCAAAACGATCACAATTTTTTCAAGTAACGGTGGAGACCTTCAAAAGAACATTACTCTGGATGTGCTGTGGTTCTCCAAAGGGAAGGCAGAGAGCCACACTGCTTAGAAAAACCTGAGCATAACTGCACTAAGCTTAGCAGGAGCCTAAACTGGCACTTAAAGGCCTCCCACTGCTTCTGCTTCCCCTGCTGCTTCAAAACACCCCCCCTGAAGTGCTAATGCCACCAACCATAACTTCCTCCAGCATGAACTGGAGAAGGCTCAAGCCCTGGGCTTTGACAGTGAGCTGCACAGAGGCAGCTGAACAGGCTGTGAGAGGCAGAGGTGCCCTGCCAGCAACCGAGATTAACCAGGGAGCCACCAGCACGTGGTGCACACTCCAGGTAAAGCAGGAGAGCAGATAAGAACTGTGCAACCCTTAACATCCCCATCAATCCAGGCTTTCAAGGGGAAGGACGCTGACTAGAAAAGCTCCTTTGTGTTAGATACCACCAATGCATGGACAAAATCAGGGGGAGAATCCCTAGCATGGGAAGATTTCCACTCTCTTGCAAAATAAAGGCAGTAACATTTTATTCTGGATGTGCTGCGCTGCAGCAGATAACTTGTTATGCTGTAAACCACAGGAATTACACTGCTCTCCTCTTCCAGCACAGAGTTAAACCTCCATATCCCAGAACTTACCTTGTCAGTGTTCCTCAGAGTCAGTGGCACTTCATAGACCTCAAAGGGGACGTAGTTCTGAAATACCACCTCTGAAGGAAAAGGCTGAAGCAAGCTCTGTTCCAGGTCAACTGCTGAGAACTGGAGAGGCAAGACAGCAGTGAGAGGAGGGTCAGCTGCTGGGAGAAAGATTCACGAAAGAATCCTACACCAATCTCCAGTGGAGTACAGTCTCTTGGTGAGTACGTCTGTGCAGCTCACGCTAGGGAAACAGCCCCCCAACTGTGTTTGGAGCTGATCAAAAGTTTCTGGACCACACTGAGCAGGCTCAAGCTAAGAAGCTCTTTTGGTGGGTGTTCCTCCAGGTTTCCCTCTCCAGAATGCAAGGCAGCACTTACGGCCAGCAGAGCCCTGTGCTGACGTGGTCACATAGCTCCAGAGCCCTTCCTGAAGAGCCGCGAGCACTCATGGAACAAGCGAAACCCAAGAATTTATATGAGACTCCATGGGAAACAATTTTGGGATGATCTTTACTCTGAGACAGAAACACCAAGTCCCACACATCCCTAAATATCATTTTTGTTAGAGAGCCTAGACACCAGTTAGAAGACACCACTACCAGAGGAGGTAAGGCTAAAATGAAGTAGCACAGTAGCTGGGAAAAAGACAAAGGAGGTGAATGCTGGATAGTGATAAGGTTTAGCTCTTTTCTCAGCATTACTGGGCAACTTGAGTAAGACTAGACTTGGTATCTCCTTTTTCCATGGGCTTTAAATAGATGCTTTATTGTACTCCATTATTGCCATTTAATACCACTGCAGAAACATGTCTGAAAATACACATAAACAGCAAATGTTTACAGAGCAGAGGCAATACATGAGAAAATTCCTCCCTGCTTTGTCTCCCCTCTCCCAGCTGCACTGTTCCTACTCAGAAGACCCAGGCAGGCCTCCTGCTTCTCCCACAGGAGCCACGCTCACATGGCAGCTCGTGCTTGCAGCACAATGCCAGTTCTGTGTGCGCTCATCTGATGGGTTCCTAACCTCCTGTGCTGCCTGGGGCAATGCTTAACCAAACAGTTATAGGTTTCTTGATGGCAGTTTTCCACTCAACAGCCTACCTCAGTGATCCACCGGTTTGGACTGTGTGCTGTAGTGAGCAGTCCTGTGAGAAAAGCAGCTTAAACATATATCTAAGTAACCACTGATCCAGAGAAAGCACTTCCACTCCCCTCTGCCCAGGGCAACTCCCCTGTATATGTGGCAGCCTGCAAAATCTAACACCCTGTAAAGGTCTCACACATTGTTCCAACCCAAAACATTAATGCACTTGGTTTTGTTAAATCTTGAGTAATTACTATAGGCCCTCAGCCTTCAAAGGCCAGTGCTGCCACCCCTGAGGGAGTCCCATGACTCCAAGCATTTGACAGTGAGTACACCAAAGCACGAGGTGGCTATTTCACCAGCAGGATGGAAAATGGCAAGCTCAGGCCCTTGCAGCCTGCCCCAGCCTTCCCCCAGTATTGTGCTTTGACAGTGGTAGCTAAACTCCAGCAAAACCCACCAACGTCAGCAGAGGTTATTTATACTTAGTGCAGATCAGGACTTCCAACATGTCACCAGGGAAAAACGTTCTACCTTTCCCCAGCAGAAGGAACTCCACCACTACCAGCAGTTTGAAAAGACAACAGGCCCTGGGCACTGAGGTGCCTCATTCAGATGAGCCAGAGGCACGCCTGTCACAAACAGACACCCTCCTCAAATGTCACATCAAACAGCAAAGAAAAGGGCAGGAAAAGGCTACCTTGTGATGGGAGGTTTCACCCATGTCTAGAAGCTGGGTAATCCGGGGCCGCCTCATCTCCCGGGTGCTGGCCAGCCTCTGCTGGGTGGTAAGAGACATCTCCTTCAGGAAGGCAGAGGGAGTCAGCTGTAATGCAAGACACCAGCAAGAGCTACAGAAATGCCTTTCTGCAGAAAGGTTTTTCTTGTTCAAGTGCCACTGATGAATAATTTGTGATCACAGCCACTAGACAGTCCTGAAAGTCCCACATATTACCTGCTGAAATATTTAACATCAAAACATTAATGATATAGAGCAGAATACACACACTAAGCAAGTGGCTCTGTCCTTCATGAGGTGATGTGACATGTTTGAGGATTTCTGCTCTTCAGGTATTTGTTCCCTCTTGAGTTTTGCTGGATTGAGCCAGAGACCTTTGAAGAGAGCGGGGAGGAGTTATCAGAAATCCCCTAATGCCACCCTTGCACAGTGCTCACAACCAACACACAGGTGGAGATGGCACTGCTGGGTGAGTCAGAGGAAAGCAGAAGAGCAGTGTTGTGCCAAGACGGAGGTGGAGAGGAATGGGTCCAAGTTTTCATTATTTCTTTTCCATTAGCACTTACTTTCCCTCTGTTCTGGCCTCACAGACCCCTCCACGGGGGATACAGGGATGTCTCCTTGACAGAGCCTCAGCACTGGGTCACCTCCAGGGAAGGGAGCTCCAGCCAGCAAAGGACAGTTGTGGGTGGCAAGGAGGAATCACCCTGAATCCACTGCTGTTGGCAGGGCTGCATCTGTGCTCCATACAGGACACAAGATACCATGAAACAACTCTTCTGGAAGCTATTCTATCTAGGACAGCCGTGTCCTGTCAAGACTCCAGGTGGTTTGAGCAGCCCACCACATGCCCAGCTGTCCAGCAGTGTGGCCAGGGCAGCACTGGCAGGTATGCCCCTGTGACAGATGTTACTGCCCACAGAGCAAAGAGGATGGAAGGAAGCACATGTTGGTGTTTCAGCTGTTCCCGTGAAATGTCCAGTACATTCCTTTATCTCGGCTCCACTGGCACCTTCAGGGAAGACCCTGGACTTTCCCTGAAGCAACACAGCCCACCCCCCGCACCATGACAGCCCCCTCCAACAGAAGCAGGGCAGCAAAGAGGTGGGGAGGTGGTGCCAGGCTCCACAGCGCCCTGACAACAGGAGGGGAAGGCAGAGGAGGGACAGGGGCAGCTCCTACCCGGCCCCCAGCAGGTACTTACAGGCACACACCGCTCTGCCTCTCTGACCAGCTTCGGATAACAACGTACTGCCACCTTACTCTGGAGTCCATCAGCCATTTTGGAGGACCCCATGGACTGATGAAACTTGCCAGTGGCCATGACTAGGCAAACCTGGAAGGAGTAACAGGGAGACTGAAAATCCAGAATTCCAGTCACGGCAGACCCAAAGGACACACCTGTGTCTCCAGGCTGTGGCATCCTTCCTAAGAGGAGAACATAAGACCTCCCCACCCTGTTTCATGACTAGGACATATTTAAGTGGTAGAGTTAAGATTCATAGAAGTAAAACTCCGTAAAAACATTTGCCAATAAAGCTTTTTGCTGTGAGTGCAAGTCCCAGAAGCCACAACTATGTCTTTTAATAAACTTCATCTGTCAGCTGACAGGGACCAATGTAGATTCCCCAGCTCCACATACTATCATTTACTGCTGTGGCTCCTGTCTTAAGTCTTTACAGTACTATTTTCCCCTTCACAGCATCTAATCCCTGCCATCCTGTCTTGACGTCTTTGCATCTCCCTTTTTATTTACTCTTTTTCTGGCATCTGGACCACACTTCAAATAAATTGTTTAGGTTGGAAAAGACCTTTAAGATTGAGTGCAGCTGTAGACCCAGCACTGCCAAGCCCATCACTCCTTTCCCTGGATGTACGCAGGAACTGCTGCTCAGAAAATCACCTATGGATTTCAAATGCAGGGAAAGGACAGGGAGGGGGAGTTGGCTTTTCAGTCCCTTACAGCTAGGCCACATGCTGCATCTTTCATCCTCAGCCTCCACAGCATTTTCTAGACTAAGCTAAACCCTCACGTACACACCACGCAAAACAGATTTCAGGCCAAAACAGCCCAAAGGCCCTGTGCAGACCAAGGCAGACAAGGCCAGTAGTGTGAGGCAGGCAGCCCCTGGCCCCTCCATGTTTCACCCACAGCTCGGGTGCACTCACAGTCGCAGCCCCAGGGAACAAAGGGAGACAGGCCGGCACTTTCTCTCTCCGGGAGCAAAGCTGGCTCCCTGCCCGGCTCTGCTGGCGGGGAGAAAGGGCTCCAGCTCCCAGCCGCCGACACAGAAAGTGCTGCAGCCTCCAGGTGCCTCTCGCCCAGCACAAGAGCCCCCCGGCCCTGTGCTCTAGGAGTAACCTCCCCCCTTGCATCCTCCCCAGAAAAGCAGCTTCCGTGCAGGGACACAGATCCCGCAGGAGGGCGAGCGCAGCCCGCAGCCAGCAGAGGTTGGGCAGGACCGAGGGCCCCTGCCCCGGGCACCCCCCTTGTGCACAAGGGATGCCCCCAGACCCGCAGCGTGGGGCAGGGGCTGTCAGAGCCCTCCACCCCAAGCTCCCCCGCTCCCAAGCCCCCCCCACCCGCGGCTGTGCTGCCTAGCAGCACTGACACCCAGAGGCACCCTCCGGCTTTCGGCCGGGGAGGGGATGAAGACACCACCCCCCAGCATCCCCCACCTCTCCCACTCTGCGGGGCCGTGGGGACACACTCACGGGAGGATCCCCGCTGCCAGACAGGCTGCCGTCCCTGTCGCCAGCGCAACTGGGCGTCTGGGCCGGCCCCAACACCACCATGGCAACGGCGGGGACGCGGGGGGGGCAGTTCCGGGACACGGGGGCAGAGGGCACAGGGACGCCCAGTGCCCAAAGCCCCCAGTGATCACAGCCAGCAGGCCCTGAGACCGCCTCCAGCACACCGCCCGGCTCCAGCACAGCCGCAGCCCCGGGTGCGGCACCCCGGCTCGGGGCAGCGGCTACAGACAGTCCCTCGACGACCCCGTTCCACTCTCTAATCCTGTCCTGGGCCTCACCATGCCTGGAGATGGAAAAGTCCTCAGACAGATCCCCCCCTCTCACAGAGCTCCCTGCCCAGGTACACGGGTGCAGCTGAGAGAGGGAAGTGCAGGAGGACCAAGTCTCTTCCCGGCTCCTTCCCACCGTCCGGGCTTATCGGTTCCAAGAAGGCTGGCAAGCCAGCCACAAAATAAAGCCTCAGCCATCGCCCCCAGGGGAGGCCCATGCTTTCAAAAATAGAGCCCAGAAGCTGAAATTCACAGCACCACGGATGCTCGGGACCATGGAGTCAGAGGAGCTACGGGGTTTATATTGCTGCCCCCTCCCCATTCCTGGGCTTAGACATACCCACCTCTGCTCTCTAAGGGACCAAAAGCCCCTCTTCCCTTGACAACACTCTCTCTGCTCCTCTGCTTGCCTGCACAATATCCAGCTGTCATCAGTAAGCTCAGCTTGGAGCCATCATTCCCAGCTCACACTTGGCTCTCAGCTGGCTGCCTGCATTTCTGACTCCAAGAGGACACGTGGGGCAGCCCAGGGCGTGAAGAGGGGATCACACTGGCACACAGCCCATCACAGAAGCAAGCCAGCCACCTCAGCCCTTCACACAAGCCACCCTCCTCCATCCTAGCAGGGTCTGACCGAAGCAGGCTGCTGGCCCTGCTCTCTCCAGAGGCATAGGGAACTGCTGGTTCATGCAGGGAGCCGCTCTACAGGGCTGAAAATCCTTCCCCCATCTCCTGGGCAATGCTGCTGACACAGCTCTCATCCTCCTGCAGAAACACACCAGCATGCATCCAAGGGCAACAGCAGGCGTGTGGCATTATTAACCTCTCTCTTGCTGCAGTGCCAGAAGGACACTGGGCACCATCAGCCTGCATCCCGTGACAGCCCTGCTGCAGGCTCCGAGACAAAGCCCCAGCACAGGCACTGCCTGGCTTCTGGACACCAGGACCAGAGCTCTGGGGGGTGACACAGGCACATCAGAAACATCTGTCCTGGCATCAGTGCTGCACCCACCAGATCAAACCCAGAGAGTAACTGGGCACCGCTGATGTCTTGCAGAGGGCACGGAGCTGCAGCAAAGGCAAAGACAAGGGCTGCAGTGAGGCCCCAGGGAGAGGAGGGCAGTGCTGGCACCTTACACCATCCATGGCAGCATTCCGTTCTCCCATTTTAACCCACGAAGGAGGAACTCCAGTACTCAATAAAGGGACTGACTGCAACACTCAAATCATTTTAGATTCTATCAAAAGGTTTCCTACCAAATAACTGCAGTGAGATCACTTACCCAGCTGCATCGTTATTTAATCCCAATCATGAATTCTCAAATAGGCAGCCCATTATCCTCTCTAGTCCAAGCAGGGTTTGTACTTGTTTTCTTCTGAGAAATAAGGAAAATAAAGTCGGCTCCTTTTAGCCATGTTTCTCCTGCCTTCCTCTGAGAAACACAATCCCACATTGCAGGGGAGAATATTACTTCTTTTTGTAGCACACATATCAAAGCACAGCCCTGGGTTTGCTGTATTCCCTTTTATTCCTATGTTCAGAATCAATTTTTTTTCCTAGCTTTCTGTTTATTTTACATATCACTTCCAAGCCCTAAGCTGCTTCTCTACTCCTTTTCTAAATCAAGACACTAACTCAAATGTCTACATTTTGGATGCCCTGAAATTAGCGGTGCAGCCACAAAATAAAAAAAAAAAATTTTTTTTTCCCCACTGCTTTTTGAAACAAAGCAAAGCCCTTTGCCCTAACAGATGTAATGCCTTCTAGGTTATGTTTTTCTGTAATACTATGAAACCATTAAATCCAGCCTGCTGTCTTTGTGCAAATGCAGAAGAAAATTTACAAGCCTCAAGAAGTTAATCGTAGCTCAAGGGGAATCTCTGACATGGAGGTTAGCAAGACAGTGAGGCTGTGACTGCCAGCAGACAATGCCACAGGAAGATGGTCAATTCTGGATGAAGATTCAGGCCTGACTCAGGAGGGAACTATCCTTAGGTATCTCAGCCTAAACAAGAAAGTGAACAGTTGTCAAAGGCACTGATCACCTACACAGTTACAGGATGCTTCCATACTTGTTCTGGGGCTCACTCTACCTGAATCCCATCTCTCCTGACCTTGTGTTTCCTCTGGTAGCTAAAAACCACCTAAATACCCACCATATTGTGGGCAGAAACACACTGCAGTACCAGTGCACTGTAGGAGCAAGGCTTAGTGGCGTTTCCCAGTCACAGGGGCAGAGCAGGGCTGTCTCGTCTCTCCTTCTCCACACCCAGCTGTTCTCCTCAACTGGCAGGGTCCTGCCAGGGCATTCTCCATCCCACCCAGTGCCACGGGGCACCACAGGCTGGGGAGCATACCTCCTCTCCTCCACCCAAGTTGGGCACAGAGCCTCCTTCAAAGCCCAAGAACACGGCAACTCTCTACTGCTGGGCATCTCACACATTTAAAACCATGGCAATACCTGAGCACCCACAGCCCAAAAAGATCCTCCCATGCTCGGCTCCAAGGACCACGCTAAAGGCCACAAGTGGTCCTTCCCTCTAACTTCTCCAGACCAAGAAAAAAAACCCTCATGTGCTTTACCTGCTCCACAACAGCTTGGTTGGTATTTGCAGCTTCTGGCATTACTTGGCAGCTCCATTTGCAGTGGGACAGGTCTCCTTGGCTCCTGGTTTCACAGCAAATCAGTCATCCAAAGCCCCAGCAGGTCCAGTACCTCTCCTGCGGGGCACTGTCAAACATCAACATCTGGGTCTGTAATTTAAAGCAAAGGAGAGGAAGGACCAGACAAATGGCCTCAGGTTGCTCCAGGGAAGGTTTAGATTAGACTGTGCTGTCTCAGCTCCAGCTGCATCCTCCTTCCCGGCCCTCCAGCACACAGCCCCCAAGGGCAAAACCAGTAATCTTTACCTTTTCACCTCTTTCCAACATTAATAATGAGTAGATAAAACATATCAAAAGAGATGACATCAGGAAACGCACATGGACTGTGATCTGTAATGTCAGTTCTAACAGCTGGTATACTGCAGATTCTAAGGAGCTGAAATTTCTCTTACAGTCAACTTGAAAATTAAAACTATTCTCACTAGCCAATAATTTTTTTCAAAGGACAGAAAACTACTGGTTTGGAATCTGAAGGTTCTTACTCCAAACTGCACTCCTGCAAGTGGGGAAAGGAAGGAGTATTTGAACTTTCTTAAGACCGGGCTTTTTGCCTGGCAGGTTCTGTGCTTTTCCAGAGAAAGAGGGTGGGAGGGTTAGAAGTTTATTTGAAAGTTGAGACTGGTTCTGCAGGATCCCAGTTATTTAAATCTTCCATTACACTGATCCATCACAAGTGCATGGCTATGTAGCCTTTTTTTTTTTTTTTTTTTTAAAAAAAAAACCCAAATTGTTCAAATCATTCTGATCTAGTACTAAACAAATGCGGGAAAGGCTTTTGCCTTTACAGTCATTTCATCCATGTCTCTTGATTATGTTGCCCTATATTGCTGCCCAATTCCAGATGGTGTATGCTCTTGGTCATTTCTTTCACGAACAGAAACTTTGTTTTCTGCCTGTTCTTTTCTTCCATGTACTTGATATTTCTCAGCATGACACAGTTCTGCTGCTGTGTTTACTGGTAACATTCTCACATGCCCATGCTCTGCGCTGGGTTTCTGTCCGGCTACAAATCCAGGCTGCTATGACAGAAACTCCAAGTTAGTTTCTCAAATTTGGAAAATTTCCCTTCTGCAATCATCAGTGAGGCTTGAAACTGCCCCCACTGGCTTATAAACCCAACCCTTTCTGGTGCTTACTGAAGAAGGTTGTGTGGTCTGATGTCTTTACACTTGAGTCTCATGGCTGTCTTCATCAGCAAATAATTTAAATATGGGGGAAGCAGCAGCAGACAGAGAATTCACACTGAGAATGAACCATTTTTTCTGAACCAAAAAAACTAATGGGACCACAGGTTACAGCGTCTTCATTTTTTAGAAGATTTGTAAGGTTCTTGGGAAGATTATCCCTATGTTTGGACTACAGAGAAAAGGAATTTGCATGTGTATGAGCAATTTGGCAAAGCAAGTTTTGGCAGAACTGGGAGGTGAAACACTGAAACCCCAAAACTGTGCTGCCCCCGAATCCCATTGCACTGTACCTGGCGAACAGATGGCATTCGACGTGCTTCGGTGTGTATCTCCCATGGTGCTGTAGCAAGCCAGATAGAACAGAGGGAAGGTGCAGCATGACTCTAGAGGAAAATGCAAGAATACATGGTTTAAAAAGACAAAGGAAATAAAAAGAGTAACACTGTATTGAAGAAGTACTAGTTAAGAAGGAGCAGTGGGAACAAATGAATGAAAGGGAACATTTGCGATGGCCTTGAAAGGCTACTCAGAGAAAATGCAACACTTCTAGCACATCATAATCCACACTGGATTAGGCTATGAAGGCTGATGTGTGGAAAGACCTGTCAAAATAGTTTTTAAAATGACAAGCTCACACATCATTGCAATTTTTCTTTTCAGATTTATGAGGGAACTGCTCAGATTCAAAGGGCGATCACAGCTCGTGACCATGTTGCCCAATATAAGGCTTAGAGAAATGTATCCAGCACGTCTGGTGCTGCTGCATTGTTCTGTGCTCTCAGGGAAGAGGATTTTAGGGCATTTCTCAATACAATTAGAAAGGTGTGGAAAAAACCCTTTTCCTTCAAAATCTTTTCATCATGTACACAATTAAGCACTACTTCTGTACTCCCCACCCATTCCCTCACTTCCCTCCTGACTAAGAAACAGCCTTTTCTAAACATTTCTGAATTCCAAAGTGATTGGTGGTTGTCTCGCCCCACTCTCCTGCTCTTAAATCTTTGGCTTTTGGTAGGAGAAGAGGTAAAAACCTTCTCTGTAAAATTTATATGACCAGAATAGTGAACAAAATTATTATTTGTTATTGTCTGCAATGGCATCTGGTAGGTAACAAGGAACTGGACTTTAGGTGTTTCCTTATAGTTTAGAATGACACAGATTTGCCTCCACTGTTTTATCACTGGAGTTTGGGTGGATATCAAATTAGTAAATCTCAGGGAAATCTACTCTGCTTCCTCAGGAATACCACATTGCAGCACACTCTCTCTAAGTCACCACTTGCTGTGGTAAATATGAAAACCCTGAGGTTTTGTGGCCTCTAGAAACTTGCACCTTTTAAAAAAACTGAAAGTGACTACATCCTCCCTTCCAAATCTTTCAAAAACATACATACTCATAAATTACAATGCCGATTGGTGTTATTCTTCTCAAACGGAGGCCAGATTATTTTAGACACACATTCATGAGCCAGTATGAACAAAATCTAGTTTTTGTTTTCATAGGGCTTCTTTTCAGGGACAAAACCATCTTACTCACCTGAATCCAGCAAAGACAGAAAATGTCCTTCGGTGCATTTATCTCTGTGCCTCAGAGGAACCTGTAACACATACGAAGAAAATCCTTGTTTTCTTGTGCCTTAAGCAAGATGACTTCTTTAGCAGTCTTTCTTGAGAAACACAGATGCATGTTTTTATCATAGTGGGAAAAAAGAAGTATGATCACTCAGTTTTAAAGGTGTTTTTATTTTAACTGATTCCACAGGAAAGAACCTGTAGGAAATGACCTTATTTTCAGTTACAACAGTGCTGTTCTAAATTCAGATACCCAAACACAGGAGAGGGCATGAAATGAGAACCTGACAACACAATGGCTTTTCACTGTAAAATTAGATGTTCAAAATGTTATTTCTGACCATCATTGCTGTACCTTATTAAAAAATCTATTTATGAGCAGAGAAGTGTGGTTGCTTTTATTCCCTTTGCTTGCCACATCATTTAAATTATATTTCAGGCACTCCATCCAGTGCCTGAAGTATATTACAGCCGTACGGCGTTTCTCGCTGCACTACAGCCCGCAGCAGCTCAACAGCCCTCCCAGCTGAGCAGCACCAAGGCTGCCTTGTATCGGCTTTCAGGAGTTAGATACTATCCAGTAGTAACAGATTATCAGCTTCAGAGAGCATGGCTTCTTTCGCTACCACACTTCTTAAGCAAGTAAATGTTCAATTAGGATGATTCAAGTGAAAGGGGGTAGCTCCTCCTTAAGATTGATTTATAGCATCACATTGATTTCACAACTGGTATATTTAAATCTATTACTCCTTGCCATCAGTATATATACTTAACTATGTTTCTTGAAAAGGAAGAATTTGGTTTTTGGTTTGTTGTTTTTTTTTTTTTCCCCTGGATAGGCCCTTTTTTCAGTGCTGGCAGAATGCACCTTCCTGGGAAATCACTTCGCCCTGGTGAGGCCACACCTCAGTGCTGTGTCCAGTGCCAGAATCTCCAGTGCAAGAGAGGAGTGAACATACTGAAGAGAGTCTGGGGATGGGCCACGAAGACGATGGAGGGTCTGGAGCATGAGGCTGAGTGACCTGGGGCTGTTCAGCCTGTTGAAGGCTCAGGGGGATCTTGGCAATGTGCACCAACACCTGATGGGATGGAAGGAAGCAGAGGGAGTCAGGTGCTCCTCAGCAGCACCCATCAACAGGGCAAGAGGCAACAGGCACAAATTAAACACATAAAACCCCACCTGAACGCAAGAAAACCCACTCTTTTTTACTGTAGGGGTGGGTCAAACACTGGCACCGACTGCACAGAGAGATGGTGGAGTCTCCATCCTCGGAGTTACACAAAAACCAACCGGCCGTGGTCCTGCACAACTGGCTCTGCTGAAGCAGAGGTGTGGACTCGATAACCTTCAGAGACCCATTCCCACCTGAACCCCTCAGGAATTAATTTGCAGCCGCTCACCGGAACGCCCTCGTTCCACCACGGTCCCTGGCACCCCCACTCTGAACGCAGCGTCCGCGGTACAAATCCTGTCACCAGGTGAAAAACCTGAATGGCTTACGGAAGCGCTTCACAGCTGTGACCTGCCGTCTGACTGACCTGCGGGAAGAGCAACGCTGTGACACGCCGGACAAGTATCGGCTCGAAAAAAACACCCACCCCCTTGAAAACCCCTCAACAAACCCCAACGCACCCCACCACCAGGGCCCTGCCCCCATAACACACCCCACCACCCGAAAAACACCGACACAAACAGACCTGATTTCCTGCGGGGTCTGGCCAGCCAGCGCTCCACGCGCCTTCTCCTGCGCTCTCCAAAGGGTGTTTCCGGGCCGCGCCCGCAGGGCCCAACACTGGTCACTCCCGGCGCCATCTCCTGGCAGGTTTAGATTGGATTTGTGTATTCACATACTCCTTAAAATGCTGTAAATGCCACTCTTCTGCACAGCAGTTCAGAAGTTTCTGGCAATCATCACTGGTGGTGTGTGTGCTTCTGTTTTTCTTGTTTGTTGGACTTCCGGGGGTTGTTTTTTTCAGGAGAAGGTGATAATGAGCAGGCTTCAGCTGATACTGTTGTTTCCTGGAATTTGTACTTTCACAGGTTCGCTGTGTCATGAGAAAAACAGGCTCAATAGGAGCATCCCGGCGGGGTGAGCAGGGACACCAGCAGCGAGTCTGTTGTTCAGAAGATGTCAGACCCCAGCAGTGACACTGGACTGGCCTCGGTCAGTGGTGATGCCTGGGGCAGTGCCCCCACCCCTTGAAAACAGGACTTCTTGGCTGCTCAGGGTAGCAGCTGCTGATTGCTTTTGTTCTTGGGGCTTTGAGGTAGTTGGGGTGCCATGTTTATGCTGTTCTAGGGTAACAGTTTTCCAGGGTTATCACGCACTAGTTTTAGGGAGAGCCAGTGTTTTTGGGTGCCAGGGTTACGGGGGTGTAGCTTACAGTGAGCTGGCATTATGGGGTTTTAGGGTTACGGGATGCCAGAGTGTAGGTGGCATAGCATTAAAGTGTGTTATTTTTAGGGACAAAATCTGGGCTTTTTTGGTCCTGGATTCCTGGGTTGTTTGCGTGTCTTGCCTTAGTTTATGCTCTATGTGGTTTTTGGAGAGTCCTATTTTAGGTTATTTTCTTTTTAGGGTTTAAATAGGGGCCTCTGGTTTGTGTATTCTTTCTTTTCTAGTTGTTTGGGTTTTTTCCTCTTCTGGTGGTTTATTTTGTGCTTTTTGTCTTTTAACCACTATTTCTGGTCTAATATGCCTGTCCAG